TCAAATTTTTTTTTCTAACAAAATATGATTTAAAGCACTATAAAATTATTATAGTTAATGTAATTTACAATTTTATTACTCCATAACATGTAACAAAAAAGATTTTTCTTTTCTTATGTGCATATTAGTATGTGTATGTAAGGATTAATAATAGATATACATGTATTTTTTAAGAAATGATTTCAAAGTATGATATTATGGAAGATTTCATCATATATTCTAATTACACTGATTCAAAAGTATAAAGAAATGTGGCCTTTAAAATGTTAATATTTCATGTGGCCTAAGGCAAATGCCTTTTTGAATACACTAGAAGCACGGCTCTGGTTGGAATGATGGTGCAGTGCTTTGACTGGAGAATCAAAGGAGATAAAGTTGTTAACTTGCAAGACACGGTTGCAGGAATGACCTTGACCATGGCTTATCCCCCAAGCTTCACTCATCTTCCTCGAATTGATCCATTAAATTTAAATCTGCAGATTCCAAGCTCCTACCTTTGAGAGCTCGTTCACTTTTTCTTTTCTTTACACTTATGTGGCAATGATAGAATCATCCCTAATCCTTTTTCTCTCTTGTTTTTTTCTACCGTCTGTTTGACAATTTAAACACTGCATTTTTATTGTAAGTTTTTGAAAACCTCTTTGTATATACATTTTAGTTGTTTAATAAATATCACCTTACAAAATATATATCCACAAATTACATTAAGGAGACTTTTTTGTCCAACCTTGTACATAAAAAACGGAAAAAAAACTTTGTTTTAATTTCTCTTTTTAATAACTATGTATTAAATATATATAGGGGCATTGCATATTAGCTTTTGATAACCTAGTAGACATGTTCTTTATTTAATTTATTTTCTGTTCTTGTTTTAAAAAAAAAAACTCTTTAAAAAAAAAAGAAAAAAAAAAGCCTAGTTGGATGTGTTGAGTACCCAAGTTCTTAGTATAGTTGTCAACCAGTTCAACAACATATGTAATATGACTAATATATTTAATTTTACACTGAGTTTTATTAAATTTCTGAGAAACATAAAATGATAAAAATAAAACTAATTAAAATTATTTACTTTCTGCAAACTTGTTTACCTTTTTGATTAAAAAAAAAAAACTAAAATTATTTACTTTCTTGCCATGCATTTGTGTTTTTAATGGTAATCTGAAATATTTTGTTTGAAAAAGAAAAAAGAAATCCTCCTTCATTGTTGGATATTCAGAGAAAGAAAAAAAGGCTAACGAATTCAAAATGGAAATCCTTTTTCGGGTGGTGAATTTCAACATCTATGAAATCTTAATTCAAATTTGTGGATTTTAACGTTACACATCCGTAACACGTTAGAAACAAATCTTCTTTGAACTTGTTAATATTCAAATATGTAATTTTTGTATTTTGTCATATTTAACTTACGTTTTGCTCATATTTTTCTTAATTTTTTCCTTACTTTTTCTTTATTTTTTTCTTCTGATTATTTATATTATTTCAATAATATAACATATTAATAGAAGTGAAGTCACATTGAGATTCATTCAAACAATTTTCTCTAGGACTTTTCAAATGTAATATTAAATTGTGTATGGTAAAAGTTTTGATATTTAATGTTTTTGTAGATACCGAGAGGGTAACCAAGAAAGTGGACGTTTATGCATTTAGAGTGATATTACAGAAAAAAAAAAGCAGTTGATAAAATAATGGGAGAAGGTGGGATCAAAATTTGGCGATGTGGTTATGACCAAAATTACGAAAAGAAGGGTTTTTGAACTTCTATGTGTTTTCACAAACTATGAATTGTGAAACTTCATATATCTGGCCTTCGATTAAATTTTATATGGGTAACTTTGTAACTGAAGAGTGCATGCTAACTCTATATCATTTCACCATGTTTAAATTTTAGAACATGAGTTTTCGTTAGTGTGATTAAATGTTATTAAATGATTTGTAGTCGTAGAGTTATTATTTGTGCATCTAAGAGTAGGAGGACAGCCCCTAATTTCTTCTATTTGTTTGTATGGTCTTTTGTCTCCCATAAGCGAATAAGGCGAACGGTGAGTGTAAAATTTGAAAGGCCCATCCTTAGCTGTGTTATAGAGTTTCTGGTGATTGTAGATACGTTCCTCATTCCTGTAAGCAAATTCATAATTGATCTATATAAGAAAACTGATATATTTACAAAGACATTAATCTGTATTTGCGTTTAAATATTCGCTTTTTTAATTTGGAATTTCGTTTTTTTTTTGTTTGTGTGAGATATGTATATATAAGATTAATGGAAAAATATGTAAATACTCTATTAAAGATTAAGCAATTATTTAAATGGGTTAAAAATCTCTCTAACAAGGACACTTTAACATGACATTTTCGTTAAAAAAACATGTGCCGGTAATGTTCCTTTTAAAAATTGTTTCTCAATTAATATATAAGAGATTTTTCTTTTGCTATGGAATGTAACTTATGTATGTATTCTGTGATTATATTAAATCAATTTAAAATGTCGTATTAAATTTTAGGCATTGTAAGCTTTAATCTAGTAAATTTAAAAGTTCATAAGTTTATTCGAATAAGATAGGGTTCACTTCCCATAAAGTTTTCTTTTATGATTTTTTGGAGTGCGGTTTCAACATTCATAGTTGTGCGCTTGTAGTCCCTCTTAGCAAATTTTTTTATTTCCCTTATGGAGTTCTCGAAAAAAAGTTTTGTCCCACGAGTTGATTCGAGCACTAGCTTCCCTACATGTTAATTTTGTTAGCAGTTAGGTTGCAACAATAGTGGATCTGATATTATTCTTCCTCTGTACCTTTATAAAATTTTGGGTTTATACATGTAACCAACATTATTGAGTATTTCCTGTTTTTGACACACAAGTTATGTCGAAAAGTCGCTGCTAGTTCATCCCTTAGAGATATATTAGTCTCTTGTGCGGTTTGAGTAAACCGAGAATCAATTGTGATTGCCCTTGGTTAAACAGGAGTCCTCTCTTATATAAAGAGGCCACAGAATAATTCATTTTCTTCTTCGCTGTTTCATAATTCTTGCTACAATTTATATATATATATATATATATTAAAGAAAAAATAGTTTAAACAATACAAGTCCAAAACATCATATTAAATAGGTTAACTAAAATTCTAAAAGATAAAGATTAAAAGGCTCAAGTTCAAATATTTAGACTTATGTTTTGCTCATATTTTCCTTATTTTTTGCTTAATTTTGATTAATTTTTCTTACCCTTACATAATTTGTATATAAAAGCACTTTCGTTTTCGGCATATGTAGCTCAATTTGAAGTTAGCAATTTGATGCCTTTTCAATTTTCACTATCACAGTTAGCAAAAGTGACGTATTTGCAGCTTTTCAATGCTTTTTTTTTGGATAAAAGTTTCAATATATTTTACTATAGATAGTTCAGTTCAGGTTGTCCTGGTTCGAGCCTCTTAGCACAAACATCCCAGAATAATCCATGAATCATCCCAAAATCCAGAATTGTATCTTTAATGTAACTAGTGTAATCTCTAAATAATATAGGGTAAAAGTTTTGATGTATTTTTCTTGTTTTTTCTTAATTTTGATTAGTTTGTCTTCTCTTTAAATTATTTCAATAACTATAATATATTGATAGAAGTGAAGTCACATTGAGATTTATTCAAACAGCTTTCTCTAGTACTTTTTAATGCAATACTAAATTGTGTATGGTAAGAGTTTTGATATTTAATGATTTTGTAGATATCGGAAGGGTAACCAAGAAAGTGGACATTTATACATTTGGAGTGATCTTATTAGAGATGATCGCAAATAAAAAAGTAGTTGATAAAACAATGGGAGAAGAGAGATAAAAATTTGGCGATGTCGTTAAGCCCAAAGTTAAGAAATCTAGTATGCTTAAAAAAACTTCATCATAATTATTTGCATTGACTATTGTAATCGATGTTAATATGCATCATTTAATGTAAATGATATTAGTATTTGCATCAATATATCAAAATAATATTAAAATTTGATTACGGTTATATTAAGTGATGTTAAATGTTTATATTGATTATTTAAAATTAACAAATAATATTAAATTAATTTGTAATAAAAAAGTATTATTTAATTTCTTAATTAATATAAAAGCAAACAATCAAATTTGTTTAGGATAATAGTTGCTTATTAGCTTTACACTTCTTTGAGACTATAAAGAAAACTTAGACCACCATTATTGGTGGTGTCTTAACTATTTCTTAGCTAAATCTTAGCTAAAAAATTAAAGAAAAATCTTGTTAAAGACTAAGATCCAAAATTAAAGTGGCTTAGCTAAGATCCAAATTTAACATTAAGATCCATTTTTAAGAACCATTTTTAAATTTATTATTTTATTACTCTTAAGAACCATTTTTAAGCAACCCTTGTTAATCATGCTCTTAGATCACTATATATAAGAAAATTATGGAACCTCTCTTTCCCGTGGGAGCGATGTGTGATGTAGAAAAATTAAGTAAACAATTACATCATTTTTTACAATCGCTGCTTAATTTTTAATTAACATCGATTTTTATTGATTTAAATTTTGTATCATATTCTAAATATGTAAATTCATATATTTGTATTAATATTGTGAAAGAGATGCAAATAGATCTAGATTTGCATTTAATAAAATGATGCGACATAAATCAATAATGGCATTGATTATTGCAACTGATATTAAATTATAATTTTTGAATCGATTATAAATAAGTAATTTAAATTCATATCACTTAATTTGTTGATGCAAATTATTTGACGCAATTGACTTTTTTCGGGTAGTAATTCTACAAAGTTTTCATTATATGTATTTAATTCACATTTGTGTTGATGTCTCAGTTTATAAAATTCCCTGGGGAATGCAGTGAGATATTTTTACCTCTTCTCCCTTTGTATATCTAAGTCCTTGAAACAAAAACAGAAAAGTAATGTTACAAACAAAACTATCAAAGAAAAAACAAAATAATGATAGTAGATGAAAGTAACATGATAAAAAAAAATGGTGTACAGTGAAGTTTAATTTAATGTAAAGTAAATAAGCAAATGGACTACTCAAGACTGCACAACCAGCTTCTGAAGATGTTCAAAGAAGACTTGAAGGCTCACGTCGTCTGTGAATATCACATCTGACCCTGTCGACATCTCGTTTGCATTGTTGTACGTCGCTGATGGATTCAGCTTCGCCAATAAAAACCTTGCCTGCATTTTCCCAACCGAATCCGTTGAGATGCACAAACAAAAACTGAAGCTGACAGTTACATGAAAACAAATCGATAAGATGAAAATGACCTGCGAGCCGTGCTGATCACAAACAACTAATCTTGGGACAGGGAAACGCTCCCGGACTATCATCTGGGAATCCTCTTGAGGAGCTTGCAATAACTCAGCAAAAGCCTATCACAAAAATAGTTATAGTCAATGATAGATTATATATACATAATCATTCAACAACAATGAGATGGTTCAGCATCATGAAAAAGGTATTAGAAACAGCTAGTTAATAGTACCTGGTGTTCAGGCTGATGATGATAACCCATATTTCGCCATTGTGCTATAGTCATTCCATGGAAGACAACAACGCTAAAATATGCATCTAATAAAAGAATTCGATCGGCTGCAATGGAAGCCACATCTAGCAAAGCTGGTTCAGCTGGTGAATTGAATGAATATGTTGTCAACGACGGTTGGATCATGACAGTTGCATTCGAAATATTCTCCCGGTTTAACAACATGCAGAAGTATGCGGTTTCATCAGGGCTATTGTTAAATACCTGCCACCATCACAACCCCGAAAAAGAAAACAAGATACTAAGCTAATGATATGATGAGCACAAACCATGAAATGTAAAAGCAGTGGTACCTGAACAAACTGCGATCGCCGCAGATTAAATATAAATTGAGGAAATAACGAAAAATAGGGATTCAGCGTGAAGGAGGCTGGATCATCCTTTCTATAGTCTCCAAACTTTGAACAAAGACGAATGAGATTCCGATCTAACCAACGAGTAGCATCAAATCCCTCCTGTGGAAAAAAATATGATGAATTGTATAGATAGACATGGCTTAGTGATAAGCCTTAGATAACTTAGATAACCTGCAGTATTTTTCAAGAAACAGGTTGGATCCTCCTAGTTCATATTACTATTATACAGCTGTGTCAACAATAAACTTTGAATGCTTTTTGTATAATAGATGAGCATTTGACCTCCTAGGGATTCCTGGTGAGTATTATTCCCAAGGAAAGACACATATTTGAAAAAATTGCCAGCATTAAGAGCTTACTCCGCCTTAAAAATAGAATAAAGCAACTACCAAACTGAAGTTGTCTACTGTGATTACCTCTGACTCCATTTTCAAAGAAGCTAATCTAGCCACGACCACAGCAGCAGTTTCTTGATCAAAGCCTTGCACAAGTTCCTGAAAAGTACATAACCACCGGTAATATAGAATGTTAAATCACTAAGAAGCTTTTAGGCTATAAGAAATCCTGCATTGCATTTTTGATGGTTATAGAAAAACGAGGACGAACCTCTGAACTCACAGCACTGTCTATCCACTGTCTGCATACAGTAGTAACTCGGAGCAATGTTTGACCTTCAGGGTTTTGGTAACTGCAATCAAATAAACAACAGTAAATATGATACTTCTGACAATGAAGCTTACAATGTAATGCAGAAAGGCAAAGTTCAGGTGAAACAAAAAAACTGATAAAATACAAGACTGAAACACTGCCCAAAGTACCTTGTGAGAAACTGCAAATAAAACTGTGGATTCGCAGCTCCAGGAGTATTTGACCCGCTTGAAGATATGTCAAAAAATACCGTCAAACACGTAGTTTTATCAAGGCCACACAACCTCCAAGCAGAAGTATTCCCCTCTCCGATAACCGTGTCAGCAACACTAGCCCCTTTCTGAAAGGATCCAAATAAAAGAAAAATGAAATTTAATTGAGAAGAGATAGCTTCGTTCATCTCACAAATCACTATCAATGCATTTTTGAGAGAATTAAATCTTCAAGGACTCCATGTTTAACCTTCTCTAATGATGAGCATGGTCCAATAGCCCCTTGAATTTTGATGTCCTGTGAACAACAGATCTCAAGCGTCCCACTAAAAAATAAACGATTCAAGGTCAGTTTCTATTGAAGTACGCACATAATTTTATTTCTTATATACAAGCTTGAAGTGTATGATACTTAAAAGGAAAGAAAAGTCATCGCATTGACAAAATTTTCTTATCATGTAATAATATCAGAGAGAGTGATGCATCAGCAAAGTAGAAACTTACTTAAAGCAGAGGCCAAGAGCCTGATCGCCATCTTCAAATACTCGCTTGAAGGAATCTTTGAATACGGAATGGCCAAAACTTTCAGACAGAACAACAAGGCCACCAGTTCTTTCAACTGCAACTTTCATCTCAGCAACCCCAACCTAACTATATCCAAAATGCAACAGCGGAAATATTTATAATTAGATATCCAATTATAAATATCAGAACTGACAGCACGACAATATACAACAAGCAATGCCCTATTGGAAGAACTGTAGAGGAAACCATCATCAAAAATAAGGGGGTTTAACGATTATGGCCTAGGTTTCATAGAAGCTCATTAGCTTTACGAAGATTGAAATATTAATTACAGAGCCAAGACAACATCTTCAGGACTAGTTAAACTGATATCACAGGCTAGGTAACAAAATGAGGACAATTGAGAGGCTTCACATTTGTGTATATTGACCATGTTAGGTTTGACAAACAATTTAGTAAATCCCATTGCATATCAAGGCCACACTTTCAGAGACAAGAAGAAAAGATGCATTCATTATATAGACTTCCAGCTAAAAAAATACAACACAGTGTTACAGAAAAGATTTAGAATCCAGGAGTTGCAACTAATGCAAACTGCACAACCAAACTTGAAGAACTAATTCAGAGCTTTGCGCACCAACTATTTATAATCATGTCACAGTAATACCTGATCAAGTGCAGAAGCAAAAAGGTCTAGCACATGACCCTGAGTGACTAGTTGCTTTGCGATGCTATCATAAAACTTGACAGCCTTTTTATAGTAAGGAGCGGCATCTTTATCTAAATCTTTGTGAGATCGCACAGGATCCGATAAATCTTTTGAGACAATCTGTACAAAAGAAAATGGAAAGAAGAAGTTGCAAACATGCTTCATACACATGGGGTGATGAAAGCTCACAATGCCAACAACCATCAACAGGCACTTACCGTTCCAGGGCCTTCTGTACATGGACCTCCGATCAAAGCTACAATTCTAGCCCCAGTTCCAGGCAAGCAAGCTCCAAGCAATCCTGCAGCAACACTCAATGCCACACCTGTGCATCGTTGGGACCGATGACCTGGCTGAACAGGCCACTGATCACTTTGTAGCTCATCCAAAAGCTACATACCAAACATCATTCACACAAAGATGAAAGAATCAGATGAAAATTTTCAACTTCACAATCAACACAAAAGCTAAATGATAAAGAACTAAAAAAAAACGTCACTCACCGAGTTGAGTGTGAATTCGCACTCGGAAGCAGGTAACAAGAATCTATTCAAACCAGAACTCGGGACGCCATTTTGAGCTCCTTTCGTATATCTCCTTGAAGAACCTCCAAGCCCCAACTGATCCAAAATCTGATCTTTAGAAATCTCTTTATCTCCTTTAAAAACAAAAACCTTAGACATCTCAGAGAATCCCAATTCATGCGCATGAGCCTGAGTACCAAACGACACAAATCCAACCAAAGCATTCTCCGGAAGCAATCCAATCGCCTGTTTAAGCGCCGATTTAGCAAAATCTAATTCTTCTTCAATCATACAAGTATCAAGAACAAACACAAACACCGCCTGCGACGGAACTTCCCCATTCCTCGGATCAAATTGACCAGCAACAGGCGGAGGAAGCGTGTATTCAACAGTAGTATACTGAGGATAAAGCTCACCAGGAAGATTGGTCTCAGAGATCACATGATAATGAGGCGGGAAATGATTACGCTGATAACAAAAGGGACAGATCCAAAGCTTTGCGGTGAAATCGACTTGTGCGTAAGCGTTTAACGCTGCGGAACAAGTCCGGCATCGGAGCGGTGCGTAAGGAAGGGTAGGGATATCGGAATGTCGCCGGATCGGAGAAATGCAAGCGGCGAGTGGGATCACGCATTTGCTTGCTTCAACTTTAGAACGAGGCCAAACGTTCCATGTCATACGAACTCCATCGATTCCTTCTAGATCTGTATTCGCCGTCTCCGCCATTGTTGCAAGTTTAGATCAGATCAGAGAATTTGTGTTTTTTTTTTTTTTCTATTACGAAGAAATTGAAAAATCTCAAAATCTTTGGCGTTTTTTTAGTAACTCGAACGTTAAGGACTCAAAGTAGAGAAAAGAACAAAAAAAAAATAAACCAATTTTGATTGGGTATCAAATATTTCTATTTTTTTGGTCTATAGTAAAATATTTTGTTTGACAAAAAAGAATCTTTTATTCCAATTTACTTGTGTGAGAAAAAAATTGATGTGAGACTTTGAACAAACACTTTCTATTTCGAATTGTTAGTTTGCTAATTAGGATCGAATTGAGATCGTAAAAATAGAAATGTGAAGTATGAAAGAGATTTCATGAGTTCAAATCTAATGATCGGTATCATATAAGTATTTCAGGAATCCACTAGATCCTTAGCTCAAACTTGAGTTTTTTTTTTCTCTTTAGAACTTTTAATTGATAAGGAATTTATCCTAATTAATTATCATAGAGAAAATTTCTAATTGGTTTGTGGAAAAAAAAATTGGATGGGGAAAAGATTGTATAGTATAAATGAATGAAATTACTGGTTAATAGAAATTGTAGATTTCAAATTATTAAATTTCAAACCAATTGAGGTCCACGACCAATTAATCAATCTAATGCTTGTTATATATAGTTGTTAGAGAGATCCATGACTCTTTTCGAACTAGCCTTGTTGGATTGTTCCATAATCATTGCCTCATTGCCTCTAGAGAATTTTATTTTAAATGTTTATAATGAATTTGATGAATAAAAAAACTCATAAACTAAAAGGAAACCCTAAACATTCAAACTTTGAAGGGAAAAAAAAACATTGAATAACCAAATAATCGAAAATAGAAACCTAGTTAAGCATCTAAAACTATGAAAGAAGCAAATATTACGACACTTTGTCAAAACAAAATCGCTAATTCTTTCCTTAATGCTAAAGCCATCGGATCATTAACTTTCTCTAACTTTGACTCGTCGATGATAACTGCAATATTATCTCCGTGAGACCCACGCAACCGATCAACAAAAGGCTTCAACTTCTCAACAAGCTCACAAAACAAATCAATCCTACACATTTTTGAAAACTCCAAAATATTCTTCAAAACTTTACTCCCATATTCATCCTTAACCAATGTATCTTCATCATCATCACTCTTCACAATCTCTTTCGAAAAGATACCCAAAGCCACCACCGACTTACCGTCACCGACAAGCTTCTCCACAACGTTTCTTCCATATTTATGAAACGAAAGCTCGATGCAACGCCGTTGAAGCATACAAATTACAAACATAATTTTGTTTTGGTCTATAAATTTATGGTTATGCGTTAAAAAAAAAAACTGTAAATTTGGAATTTACCGTTATTGGGCTTCGTTTATAAGCCCAACCCAACACAATCTAAAAGCCCCGTGCCACGTGGGATAAAAATATCCTAAGAATAAATAACTCAAACGGTCGAACAAAATCATGGGCCCAAATTTGATCTCATCCGTTGGATTCATCATCTCACGATCAACGGAGATAGATGAATAAAATAAAATAAACAAACATGTGAATGCGTTCTCGATCTAGAAATTCAAAATTCTCGCCATTAACGGCTCTCTCTCAAACTCTCTCTCTTCCCTTCTTCCTCGTTACTTTGCCCGAAACACTGATTGTTGCAGAAGCAGATCTTGCTCTTCCCTCTCTTCTTCTTTCGAATTGGTTATTGCAGAGAGATGAAGCATTTCATGATGCCAAGAAACGCTATCTTGAGGGAGACTGGAGAGTCGCAATCGCCAAACCCTAGTTTGACGAAATCGAAGTCACAGAGGAAGATTAAATCTGCTAAAGAGAATGCTCCACCTCCGGATCTGAACTCGTTGTTGCCTGATCATAGATCTTCTCCGGCGAAATTGAAGAGTCCTTTGCCTCCGCGTCCTCCGTCGTCTAATCCTCTTAAACGGAAGCTAATTGCTGAGGCTGCGGCTGATAATGGAGTAGCTGCTGGAGTTTCAGACTCTGGTGTCAAGGTAGTTTGAGTCTTTTGAATTTTTGTTTTTCTTGCTCAGATTTTGGAGAATGTTCCAAGGAAAAACCCTAATTTCTTGGATGAATTGGTCTAATTAAGCTCCAGATTTTAAAATCCCTAACAAAATGAAGTTTGTATTTTTAGAAGTTTTAGTTTCATTTGGCTATTAGTTACGATTAGTTCGATTTCTCACTATTGAAATGAAGAGAAACTATATGCTTGGTGGAAAATGATTGTCTAAGTAGTGTTCAAGATAATCCCTGAAGTATTAATGGCTCTCTTAAGTTGACCTTTTGTCTCGTTTTGTAGGTTATAGTCAGAATGAAGCCTCCAAGCAAAGGTGAGGAAGAGGAGATGATAGTAAAAAAGATCTCCAACGATGCCCTCACTATTAATGAACAGACTTTCACATTCGATTCGATTGCTGACCCAGAGTCAACACAGGCAAGAATTTAGTTTTCGAGATTGGGTTTCATTATACTATGTTGTCTCATGATTTATATAGGCTAACAAGTCTTTAACTTTCTTGTATTATTTGCAGGATGATATCTTTCAGCTTGTGGGTTCCCCTCTTGTAGAAAACTGTCTGGCTGGATTTAACAGTTCTGTTTTTGCCTATGGACAGGTAGTCCTCATTTTCATTGTGTTTCTTTGGGATTGAATTGTGATTCCTTAAACCATATGATTGTGATTCTAACATTTGTTTTCATCAGACTGGTAGTGGGAAAACGTATACCATGTGGGGTCCTGCAAATGGATTGTTGGAAGAGCACCTTAGTGGTGACCAAAGAGGTTTGACTCCACGTGTCTTTGAATTGCTCTTCGCCCGTATCAGTGAGGTGATCCTTCGTGTTGTTTACTTTCAGTCTGTTTCATTATGCGAGAGAGGCAGCACATTCAAAGTTGATTTCTTTTGTTTGCAGGAGCAAGCAAAGCATGCTGAAAGGCAGCTAAAGTACCAGTGCCGCTGTTCGTTTCTCGAGGTTCGATGAGTGGTTTTACTATAGTTTGGCTGTGTTTGATGTTTTCATTTCTCAAAGCTTGATATACATGGTTCTCTTTCCCATATTTCATTGCAGATATACAACGAGCAAATAACAGATCTTTTGGATCCGAGCCAAAGAAACCTGATGGTAAAAGGAACTTGCAACTTCAACTTGTTTTACATTTTGTAAGGAAAAAGAACCTGGATTCATCATTTTTTAATTAATATGGCACCAGATTAGAGAAGATGTCAAGTCCGGTGTTTATGTTGAAAATCTGACTGAGGAGTACGTGAAAAACTTGAAGGATTTGTCAAAGCTTCTGGTTAAGGTTTGTTATATCATTTTATTTCATATTCTTCTTTGGAAATCAATCCCCCTTCTACTTTGAAAGATTTTAAGAGTAATTTCTCAAAACGTACATAAACTTGTGTTTCCTAGGTGTGATATTATTATATTTTTCCTAAACTGTTATATGGAATGCATAACTATGGTTTGTTATAAGAAAAAGTATCTATCCTACAGGAATTGCAAATACTGTGTATTGGAATAAGATCTTTATATCGCCAAATTGTGTCAAAGTCTTGCAGTATAGTCGATCTGAACTATTTTGTTGCTTTGCTTTGAAATGTGTATCTTCAATAGTAAGCTTGCATCTGAAACTTGTGCAGGGCTTGGCAAACAGAAGGACTGGTGCAACAAGTGTAAACGCAGAGAGTTCAAGGTCGCATTGTGTATTTACTTGTGTTGTCGAGTCCCACTGCAAGGTGGGCTGTTCTCCTTTATTTTATTGTTCCTATTAACTAGCAACTGCAAGGTTTTAAGAATAGGCTATGAGGCTCAGATGCTTACTAGTCTAGAAATTATTTAGTTAATGTTATTATGAGGTGATGTCAATCTATATCTAACTGTATTTGAATGTAATATGTAACAGAGTGTTGCAGATGGTTTAAGCAGCTTCAAAACAAGTAGAATCAATCTTGTTGATCTGGCTGGTTCAGAAAGGCAAAAATTAACCGGTGCAGCAGGCGATCGTTTGAAGGAAGCTGGGAATATAAATCGATCACTTTCCCAACTTGGGTAAGATCAGAATAGTCTACATTATAGGCTGCTTATTGATTTTCTTTTCCAGTTAATACTGCATTTTTGTTTTTGTATCGAGAGTATAGCATGCATTTGAATCTGGACTAAAACTTAGGGGAAAAGAAAACACAATTTGAAAATGATGGTCGTAATCTGACTTTTATGCCAGATGTTTTATCTTGACACTTTACAGATGTGATGCTATACAGTCTGAAACTGAGAATTGTAGATAAGTGTAAACCTTACAAGTTTTTTTACTTGCAGGAATTTGATCAACATTCTAGCAGAAATTTCACAAACAGGGAAGCAAAGACATATACCCTATAGAGATTCCAGGTTGACATTTCTATTACAAGAGTCTCTAGGTGGGAATGCAAAATTAGCTATGGTTTGTGCAGTTTCTCCCTCGCAAAGGTAAATCAAGAACCCGAATTTCTCTTTCAGAATATATTCTACCCTCCCTCCACTTTTCTGCTAAATAAAATTGCCTCTTAAATTGCAGTTGTAGGAGTGAAACCTTCAGCACCTTGAGATTTGCTCAGCGTGCAAAGGCGATACAGAACAAGGCAGTTGTCAATGAAGTAATGCAAGATGATGTAAATTTCTTGCGGGAAGTGATACGCCAGCTGAGGGTATGCATCCTTTGGATTATCTCACAAAATGCAAAAACAAACGTGAATGTAACTTCTAATGTAAACTGTGCAGGATGAACTGCAAAGGGTGAAGGATAATAATGGAAACAACCCAACAAACCCAAATGCAGCTTATACCACTTCCTGGAATGCGCGTAGAAGTCTGAGTTTGTTAAGAAGCTTTGGCCTGGGTCATCCAAAGTCATTACCAAATGGAGATGATGATGGGGACACTGAGATGGAAATTGACGAGGAGGCTGTTGAAAGGCTTTGTGCTCAAATGGGCTTGTGTCCACCTGCCGAGGACAACAATCAGGACATGAGCAGAGTAGAGAAAATAAATTCATCATTACAGACAGTGGCCCTGAAGGATGAATCTTACAAAACCTCCCACCTTAGATCATCTGATGTCCAATCATCTACAGGAAAGCAGTTTCCTGAAGATACAGATGTTAACATGGAGGATGCGTGTTGCCAAACTGAGAACAATGGGTCAGAGACTGATAATGCGTTATCTGTGGCAGAAACTAGAATCTCAACAAATCAGATCAAAGCGGCCGTGCAAACTATGGATGATGGTTCTAGTGTACAGCCTGCTTCCATAAAAAATTCTCTTAATTCTTGTATTAGCGACACAAACCAGGGAAATTCACCAAGCAAGGCGGAGAACATTCCATCATGCCAAGACTTGGTTCTAGAAGCTGATGTTTCTGCAATTGTAGCAGTATCTGATACATCAAATGATACAGAACAGGTCTCAGTAAATCCTGTGTCGCCTTGCCTTAGCATATCTCCAGTAAGTGTTTCTCCTGGACTAATACCTCCCACTGAGAGCGCCTCTCCTAAGATCAGAAATAGCAGGAAAAGCTTGAGGACAACATCAATGTCCACCGCATCACAAAAAAATATTGAGAGAGCAAACCAGTTAACTAAAGAAGTTGTGGAACCTTCTCCGGCTATGTCCACAGAGGTGTTAAACCTATATAGTGCTTTGTCTACAAAGAAAAGTGAAGCTTTTCCTGTGCCAACTAGGCAATTGGCAGCTAGCCTTCACAGAGGCATGAAACTTCTTGACTCATACCGGCAGAGTACAGCTCATAGACGATCGACATTCAGATTGTCCTACAAAGCTCTAGAATGCAAGCCCTCAACCGTTTTAAGTAAGGCTGATGTAGGTGTTCAAACTTATCCAGAAGGTGATACTGTAGCGGAAGACAACCCCAAAGAAGTACTGTGCAGTAAATGTAAATGCAGAGCAGAATGTGATGCCCAAGAAATAAGTGACACTTCTAATCTCCAGTTAGTACCTATTGACAACTCAGAAGGTTCAGAAAAGTCCAATTTCCAAGTTCCTAAAGTAAGAATTGTGGCTTTCATTTGGAGCATTTCGTTCCACAATTGTATAGTGTAATAATATGATATGAGTTTTCTGCACCTTACAGGCAGTGGAAAAGGTTCTAGCAGGGTCTATCAGAAGAGAAATGGCTATGGAGGAGGTCTGCACTAAGCAAGCATCTGAAATATCACAGCTTAATCGGCTGGTATGATCCTTGCTTATGTTCTGTTGGTCAGCTTCTCTACTTTCGACGTATAAAGGAAACCTTTTTAATCATCTATGGGAAATTAAACAGGTGCAACAGTACAAGCATGAGAGAGAGTGCAATGCCATCATAGGACAAACAAGGGAGGACAAGATTGTTCGCCTTGAAAGTCTCATGGATGGCGTGTTGTCTAAAGATGATTTCCTGGATGAAGAATTTGCATCACTCATGCATGAGCATAAGGTAAATTTTTGGGTTACCATTATTTAGAAGTTTATTGAATCATTGCAGAAATGTTTTCTTACATATAATTTGTGCAGCTTCTGAAGGACATGTATGAGAACCACCCCGAAGTATTGCAGACGAGGATTGAGTTGAAACGAGTGCAAGAAGAGCTCGAAAGTTTCAAGAACTTCTACGGTGATATGGGAGAAAGGGAAGTATTATTAGAAGAGATTCACGATTTAAAGGCGCAGCTACAATGTTACACTGACTCTTCTCTTACATCTGCTCGGAAAAGAGGTTCCCTGCTTAAGCTAACATACGCTTGTGACCGTGACCAAGCTTCACCACTTAATACCATTCCTGAGTCAGTGGACGAGTGTCCTGAGAAGACACTAGAACAGGAAAGACTTCGTTGGACTGAAGCAGAGAGCAACTGGATCTCTCTTGCTGAAGAATTGAGAACCGAGCTTGATACCAATAGATTGCTAATGGAAAAGCAGAAACGTGAACTGGATACAGAGAAAAGGTGTGCTGAAGAGTTGACAGAAGCAATGCAAATGGCGATGCAGGGTCATGCACGGATGATTGAACAGTATGCAGACCTGGAAGAGAAGCATATCCAATTGCTTGCAAGGCATAGGAGGATTCGAGAAGGAATAGATGATGTAAAAAAAGCAGCAGCCAGAGCAGGAGTCAAGGGAGCTGAGTCTAGATTCATAAACGCACTTGCAGCAGAAATTTCAGCTTTGAAAGTGCAAAGAGAGAAGGAGGCACAATACTTCAGGGATGAAAACAAGAGTCTCCAGTCACAACTAAGAGATACTGCTGAAGCTGTTCAAGCAGCAGGAGAGTTACTTGTTCGACTTAAAGAAGCTGAAGAAGGATTGACATTTGCACAGGTACCCATACCTGCCATTTTTCAGTTATTAATCCTATCATTTGACTCTTATTAACCTTTTTTGCTTGTGTATCCACAGAAAAGGGCAATGGATGCAGAGTATGAAGCAGCAGAAGCATATAAAAAGATGGACAAGTTGAAGAGGAAATACGAAACCGAAATCAGCACTGTAAACCAACAACAAATAACAGAGCCACAAAATCCCATAGAATCTTTGCAAGCTTCTTGTAATGGCGATGATATGGCTAAATATGATGAACCATCAGCTAGTGATGGTGATCACCAATGGAGAGAAGAGTTCGAGCCATTTTACAAGAAAGACGAAGAGTTGTCAAAGCTCGCTGAACCCTCTTGGTTCTCGGGGTATGACCGATGCAACATATAATTTCGTTTCCACAACGATTTCTTTTCTTTAATGTGTATAGGAAAAAGAAAGACATGTTGAGGTCTGATCTGATTCTGTGAGATATAGATCTAAAGCTTGTACTCTTTTCATTGTATTTCTTATGTGCTACAAACTCATTTTACAATTCAAACATTTTTTTGTGAGATTTGATTGATCACATTAGTAGAGATAAAGCATCTGAAGGATGTCTTTCACTCTTTCTTATGTTATGTTGTACAAACTCATTTTACAGTTTGATTTATTTTCAACGGCACAACTCACCTCGTCACCGTCAACATCTTTATGAGCAAACCTTCTCTTAACATTCTACGCAATCTATTGGAATAACTCGTTGGCATCAATGTTCCCGTCATCGAGTCTTTTCATTGGTATGAAAAAGCAAGAATCATTTCATTCGTATGAGCATACTCTAGACGAATTAGAGAATACACGTGATACAATCATCCAATCACGGGATCTTACGAAAGGACTTAAGAGTAGAATTTGCCTTAGACAAAGCCAAGACCAAGACAAGCTAAGACTAAGGTCCCTTTATGTTTCTTTCATTGTTCTGTTTCCAAGATTCTTCAGATATGTTACTACTTCTACAATCTCAGCTCTGTAAATCATAGCGCAGCCAATATATCTATTTGTTGTACATATGAGAAAAGAAATAGATTTCACTGTTACTATATTTTGTTTTAAAACATCTTAGCAAATCTTCATCATGATGCATATAAGCTCGGAAGAAACCAGAATTTATGATAATAGAGTAATCTTGTTCAAAGAGAAGAATAAGTAAATGAAAGACATACATAAGGCATTGTGAATTGAGTCTTCATCATCTCATTATCTCCTTTTGCCTCCCTCCTCCTCCAGCATATTGCTCATTGATTCCCTTCAAGTAAGACAAGTCTCGACATGTTTTCATCATATCGAAGCTTCTCCAATTCGCTTTCTTGTTCCCTTTCCCCTCCTTCAGGTTGCTTGATTTCCACTAAACTTGGAACATAAGAGCACAAATCTGGCTTACATTCTTGGTCTCCAAAATCTCCAACGAGATCCAATGCCCTCAAGTATCCAGCCTCTCCAATGATGTTAATTTTGTGGCGATTATCCACATCATCAAAACCAATGGCGACTTTCTTCTCCTCGTCAATGAAGAAACTTCCACCTATAAATGGAACATAACTATCAAATCCAGCTGTTGCCACTCTCAAGAACTTGCTCCACAACACCTCTTCAGTCTCAATCTTAGTCGTAATCCATAAGTCAAGCTCATATGGATTTGATTCATCGTGCTGAAGTAAAAGCGCAAGCTTCTCTTCTCTAACACAAGTCAATGTCGTATAGTCATGATACCCACCACTAAACGGCAGAGGCAGAAGCGGACCAAATCTCTCAGTTGTAAAATCGAAACAGATTAAGCTATTGGCCAAGACTTCTTTTACATCTACGTTCCTTTCAGCAGCACAAAAGTAAGTGTTTCCCTTAAGAGAAACGCCAGGGTTACAAAATGCTATACGCCAATGTGGAGATATATCAAGAGTCGTCCATAAATCAGAGTCAAAATCATAGATTTCATACCAAAAGAACTGCTTTTCGGGTACATTGTAGAAATAATCTATAAACCTCAAGAACTTGTAGCTACGACAAGATTCCTTATTCACGTATCCAAGAGCGTAACTAAACCTATCCCATCCGCTTGGACGATGGGAATATCTTGGTTCGATCCACCTTGTTTGCCCCAAATACGGATTCAGAACCACAAACCTAGAATCTTCTTTCAATATGCATAGCAATAAGCCCTCGCAGTCAAAGACCTGTGATATCTTGGCTTGTTCGTCAAGGCAAGTAAGTTTGTCTATTTGCTCAATAGATGGTTCTCCATTGAGAGTAATGCTCGTTAAATAAAGATTGTTACCCATCATCACGATCATCTGAGACTCACCTTCCTTTGATGCAGGTAAGGCTTGACCAATGTCCATCTTCCTAAAGCTCTGACGTTTGGAGTTTAACTGTTTCAATCTGCAATCGAAAACCCTTGTTTTCGTTTCCTCTGATCTATTGCGGTTGAACAAGAAGAAGAAGCCCTAAATAAAGCTGGAGACCAAACGTGGGCTTGAAAATCTAGTCGGGCTTTTGATGACAAAGTTTGATCAATATTTCCAGCTCCACTACATTTAATTTTGTCACATATTTATTTTGTTAATCCTGTAAAAACAAATTTTATAGTTTATAAATTACTTGATAAGAAATGAAAAATATATGGGAAATCCGGATAAACACTTTATTAAAATAGTGAAGGTAAAGGCATGCAAGCACTTGCTAATTTTCTGAGTACTTGTGACTAGGGATGTTAATATGGGCTTATAACTTAGGGCCGGCCCGAGTCCGTTAAAAAAAATATAAGCCCTAACCCTAATAAAATTAAATAAAAGATTTCGGGTTAAGATAGGGCTATACTTAAATTGTTATGGGCTAAAATAGGGTTGGCCCTATTACACTCTTTTATTATTCCCTGTCTTCTTATTTTTTTTTTTTCTTCTCTTTCTCCCAAACGCTTTCTTCTTCGATCTCTTCTTCGATCTCTTCTTCTTTGATCTCTTCTTCTTTGATTTCTTCTCTGAAACCATAAGAGTTGAAGATTTGATCTGACTATATTGAGAAACAGAAGCTTAGTGAAGGAGCAGCAACCCTAATTTTTCAATCCCTAAAGGTGAAGTTTTTGTTCTTCTTTTTCTTTGATTCTACTCTTTTTCGTCACAATAGCAAAATAGCGATCTGGGTTGGCATTTTTATTGAAGGATTTTGGTGGGTTCGTGTTAGATTTTGGTGGGTTTAGGTTGGTGTTAGATTTTGGTGGGTTTGGGTTCGTGTCAGATTTTAATTTTAGAGATTCATGTATGTATTTGATCTTAATTAGCTTTGATGATACTCATATCCAACTAGTATATTCGTACGTGGTTGTGCTGCACTTGATGGTTTCTGCTAAATATCTATTTTTCTGCTATCTAGGAACATTGCTTGAGCCATGTTTAGGGTTTAGTTATGCAGCAATTTTATTGGAGATCCATGTTTAGGGTTTAGTTCTATGCTGATGCGATTTGAGTCAAATACTAGTTGGATTTTACTCAAGTCTTTATTTAAGACTTAGCTATGACTTTATGTTGATGTAATTAAAATTTGTTATGTAGTATGGATCAGCAGTCACTGGAAAGAATTGCTCTTCTAGAAGCTGAAAATGAACGCATGGAGATGGAGATGAATGCTGAAGTTGAAACTCAAGGGCAGAACCAAACAGAAAGTGTCACTCAACCATGTCAACGAGCTAAACGGGTACGTAAAAAACAGAAAGCTTTGTGTTGGAACGAATTTTAGTAAAATGACAGGAAACAATGTTTTACATGTTGTGGTGTTATAGTGTTTCCATTTGATAATAAAACAATAGTGTTATTAACTTATAATTGTTTTTGTTTGAAAAACCTTTCTCTTTAAATATAAAAAAAAAACTTAAGGGCTAGAAAGGGCCAGAAAAGGGCTCAACCCTGTTTTAAATTTTTTTAGGGCTTAAAAAGGGTTAGGGCTCACTTAGGGCTGGGCTTTAAATAAATAGGGCCGGGTTGGGCTGGGAAACCCTATTTAACATCCCTACTTGTGACACACTTTGACCCGTACAAGTAACTGACTTGAGGACTTGATACTTGCCTCTCATCCGAAGCAAGTATTTGCTCCAACAAATACTCGTCCAAAATCTGATTATGCTGCTGAAAAGAACGCAAATTTAGAAGAAGTCTTCACCTCTAGCATAATCTGTTTCGATTTTACAAGTGAGAGATTTGGTCCGCTTCTGCATCTGTCGTTTAGTACTGATGGGCATCATGACTATATTACCTTGTCTTGTGTTAGAGAAGAGAAACTTGCGGTTTTACTTCACTACAACAAATCAAATCCATACAAGCTTTTCTTTTGGATTGAGATTGAAGAGGTGTCGTGGAGAAGGTTCTTGAGAGTGGCAACTGGATTTGGTATTTATGTTCCATTTATAAATGGAAGTTTCTTCATTGACAAGGAGAAGAAATTCGTAATTGGTTTTGATAATTAACGATAATCGCCACAGAGTTATTGTCATTGGAGAGGCTAAATACTTTAGGGGATTCGATCTCGTTGGAGATTTTGGAGACCAAGAATGTAAGACAGATTTGTGCTCTTATGTTCCAAGTTTAGTGCAAATCAAAGCGATTTGGAAAAGTGTCGATATGATGAAAACATTTTGAGACTTGACTCACTCTAAGCGAATCAATGAGCTTTAATGCAGGAGGAGGGAGGCAAAAGGAGAACGAGTATATTAAGACTCTAATTTTCAAAGCCTTAAGTAGTTCATGGTTCATTCTTTTTTTTTCTTGACTAATAATGAGTTCGTCGCTCGATCTTTCTCTTCTAAAACTTGGCTTAAGGTACCTTAAAATGCAACAAGATTCGACACACCAAAGAGAAAATATAAAGAAGTGAACAAATTTATTCCAGTTTCTTACAAGCTGAGCAATCATAACACATAACAAATGTAACTAGTACAGAGATGTCCCGGGAAAAGTTTTTTGTCATTTTTTTACATACTTCATATGAAATTTTTCTTGTTTTTGTTTTAGGTTGAGAAGAGATCAACAGATGCACAAGGAAAGAAGAAACGATAGTAAACATAAAAATTCCAATATGTTTCACTCCGTTACTCATCACTACTTGGTTTCTGTATGTACAACAGAGATAATAACCGTAAACATCTTTGATCAGAGCTATGGTTCAAGCTCCATCTGAAGCGTCGGCTCAGAAAGAGTTAACATAAGAGATGTTCTAAAGGTTTCGATGGACGACTTTGATTCTTATTTTTCTTATAGTTGTTGTTGTTGTTGCTCTGTTGCTGGATATCTCCAAAACCTATTTGAACAATGCTTTCAGGTCATTAATGGAAAACAGGTCTGTTTTCAAAGGTGTTTAGTACTCTTTCAGCAAGACTGTGGCTACCGGTTGCTTGACCCCTTCTAGCTCTAACATGAATATAATCTTTAGATCTGATCTGATTCTGTGAGATATAGATCTAAAGCTTGCACCTATTCTCCAGCTTGTACTATTTTCATTGTATTTCACTATTTCTTTTGTGCTACAAACTCATTCTACAATTCATACTTTGTTAGATTCCTTGTAAGAGAC